GGGAGCAGGGAGCAGAGCAGGGAGCAGGGAGCAGAGCTGGGAGCAGGGAGCAGGGAGCGGAGCAGGGAGCAGAGCTGGGAGCAGGGAGCAGAGCAGGGAGCAGGGAGCAGAGCTGGGAGCAGGGAGCGGAGCAGGGAGCAGAGCAGGGAGCAGGGAGCAGAGCAGGGAGCAGAGCTGGGAGCAGGGAGCAGAGCTGGGAGCAGGGAGCAGAGCTGGGAGCAGGGAGCAGAGCTGGGAGCAGGGAGCAGAGCTGGGAGCAGAGCTGGGAGCTGGGGCTGCTGGCACAGACACCTCCACTTCCCCAGGCTCCTCAGGGAAGCCACAAATTGTGTCTTCCCTTGGCTTCACAGCAACTGGGGGGCTTTCTGTGTACCCCGGTGTGGCAGGGCAGGCATTTCCTGACACCCCTGGCAGGAGTGTTGTGCTTTAGCACCCAGAATCATGGTGACTTGGCAGGGCAGGGCTGCCTTCCTATTTGGGAATATCAAGGACTGAGGGCTGTTGGGGGAGATTCTTGTGGTGAAAACCCAGGAGAAACAACAAGCAGCAGCCATCTGCCTTGCCATCCTTTCCAAGCAAACAAAAACATCACTCTTCCCTTCTTTTGCTAGTGATGTAGATCACCAAAAAGCTGACTGGGTCAGTATCCACAAGGAGATATGCCAGCTGCTGATCCCCATCCAAACACCCCTCCCTTTCCTCCTGACTGAAAATGAAAGAAAACAAAGGAGGGAACAGCTGGTGGAGAGACAGGTATGTACAAGAAAAGCAAATGCCACTTCAAAGTGCTGCCAGGGAGGCTCAGTTGGATCTCTCCTCCCTGCAGTTTGGTGCTGGGAGGGACCTGCAGTGCAGACATGGGTGATTTTATGTAGAAACAAAACCTCTGATCAGGGAGCAGGAGCATCCTCTGTCTGACTCTACAAAGCTCCTGCCTTTTTCACAATCATAGTCACAGAGTGGTGGGGGTTGGAAGGCACCTCTGGAGATCATCCATCCAACCCCTGCCAGAGCAGGATCCCCTAGAGCAGATCCCACAGGAACACATCCAGGTAGGTCTGGAATGTCTCCAGGGATGGAGACTTCACAATTCCCTCAGCAGCCTGTTCCAGGGCTCTTGTTACCCTCAGACTCAAGAAGCATTTCCTTATGTTTAACTTGACCCTCCTGTGCTCCAGTTTGTGCCTATTGCCCCTTGTCCTGTCCCTGGACACCCCTGAAAAGAGACTGGCCTGTAGAAATTGATCAGCCCTGATCAGATCCCCCCTCGGGCTCCTCCTCTCCAGCTGAGCAGCCCCAGCTCTCCCAGCCTTTCCTCACAGGCAGATGCTCCAGATCCCTCAGCATCTCAGTGCCCTGGGTTGGACTCTCTCCAGTAGCTCCTTGTCCTTCTTGAACTGGGAAGCCCAGAACTGGACCCAATCTTTACTCAGAGTCCTGAGCTTCCTCAGGCAGCACCAATCCTGCCTCTCCAGGTGGTTAGTCCAGGATCCAGCTGCATTTTCCTTCTCACAGCCTTTCCTCATCCCTGATGAGAGGGATTCCCCTTCCTCCAGGCAGGGGGACAAAGAAACCAAGTCCCTCCCTTTGTTGACCTGCCCAATTTCGAACACCCTTTCCCACCCAGCAGAGTCTTTCATCCCAGCTTCTGGCCCCGTGGGTGGTGCAGATGTGCAGCTCCTTTCCAGCCCTGGCTGTTTTCAGCTCCCTTTGTTTGTTTGTTTGTTTGTTTATGGGGTGGCAGGATCTGCTTTTCTACAGTGTTGATCAAATCAACCCACCCAAACACATCTGCTCCTTAAAATGCTCTTGAAAAATAAATCCTCCTTCTATGGTTGCATGACTTGCAGATTGCAGAGTGATGGGCCAACAGGGCAGCTGGGAGTGAGGGGGTGAGAGGGAAATGGTGCCACTCAGAGGAGCATCCTTCATCCTTCCACTTTCACAGCTGGTTTGAAGGTTGTTTCTGGCCTTTTTTTGCTGTCTGACTCCTTGCTGCCACCTTATCTTGGGAGCATCCAGAAGGAGAAAGCTCTAAAAGAGGTGGAACCTGCACAGACTCAACTCCTGCTTGGTGGAAGCTTCTCCCAGGCTTTTGGGAGCAGATTCCTCTGGGCTTGGTAGGAACTGGGCACTCAAACCCTGCTTGGTTTGGCAGATCCCATTTGGGAATGACAGGATTGTTGAGCAAGAGCCAAGGAAGGTGTTTTGGAAGAGTGTGTCCCAGAAGCAGCAGGAAAAAATGCAAAAGCTTCTTTGTTCCAGGTCACACTTGAGCTGCTTTTTTTAAAAAGTCTGCAAAGAAAAAGTTTCAGTTGGTCCTGGTGGGGGTTGGGGCAGGATTTTCTGCATCCTTCACTGCCTGAAAGTTCTCCAAGAAACCTCAGCAATACATGAGCAGTGATGTTCAAGGCCTCTGTTATTATATAATCAAATTGATTGTGACTAAAATGATGGTACAGAGGGTGCCAGGTGAAGGCAGCACCCCTGGGTTAGCTGGAAGCCAATCATAGGGTTGGAAGGGACCTCTGCAGATCATTGAGTCCAGCCCCCTTGCTACAGCAGGAACACCCAGAGCACATCACACAGGAACGTGTCCAGATGGGTCTGGAAAGGCTCCAGAGAAGGAGACTCCCCAGCCTCTCTGGGCAGCCTGTCCCAGGCTCTGTCACCCTCACAGGGAAGAAGTTTCGCCCCATGTTCAGGTGGAACTTCCTGTGTTGTCACTTGGTGTCGTTTCCCCTCGTCCTGTCACAGGCACCACTGAACACAGACTGGCCCATTCCTGACACCCACCCTGCAGGTATTGATAGACATTCATCAGGTCCCCTCTCAGTCTTCTCTCCAGACTGAACAGCCCCAGGTCTCTTAGCCTTTATCAGACAGATGTTCCAGTCCCTTCATCATCCTTGTAGCCTCCCTTGGACTATTTCCTGCATCTCCCTGTCCCTCTGGAACTGGGGAGCCCAGAACTGGACACAACACTCCAGATGTGGTCTCACCAGGGCAGAGTAGAGGGGCAGGAGAAACCCCCCTGGACCTGCTGGCCATGCTGTTCTTCATTCATCCTGAGATACTATTTGGTTTCATTAGGTTCCTGAGGAAGGCAGGAGGAGGATGGGGCTGGAGAAGAAGGGCCAGTCCCTCTGTGCTGGGACTGCCCCTGGATCACCCCTGGCAAGTGCAGAGCCCAGCCCTGCCAGGACTTCATGGGAAAACTCCTGGAGGGCAAACCCCCCCTGGGGTGGTGTTCTAGGATCTTTACCAACCCTGTTACATTTGTTCTTCAACCTTTGTCTCCAGACCATTTCAACACAATCCCTGCAGGGAATGGAATGTGCAGGGGCCCTTTGTGTCTCCTGAGCAAGGAGGGAAGGAGCAGAAACACCTCATTACCTGCTGCTTTCACAGCACAACTGCAGCTCCTGGCTCACAAATGATGTGCAAGGGCTGGGGCAGGAGCCTTGGGCCAAGACTGGTTGACAAGCCTTGGAAGAGCAGCCTGGAGAGGGTGGGATTATTTCCCACCCTACCTTGGTGGCTTGGGCACATTCCTCTTCACCCAGCCAACAAAGGTGCTTCCAAGAAGGTGCTTGGAGCTCAAGGAGAAGCTACATTGTCTCAGGGTGAGCAGAGGGGAAAAAACTGCCTGTAGGTTGATATTTTGGACATTTTCAGCTGTTCTTCACAAACTCCTGCATGGTGTTTTTTTAGAAAACACCCAAGTGGAGCCTGAGTGAGGACACAGGAAAGGTGTGTCCACCTCCAGCTGCCCCCTGGCCTGGGGGAAGGTGCAGGGAGCTGAGAGCCAGGAGGTGAGGAGCTTCAAACCTCTGTAGCCAAAGCTTTGTTGATAGAAATCTGCTTTTATCAACATAGCCAGGGGGCTGCCTGCAGACAGCAACTCCACACTGACTAAACTCCAAGTTTCTGTTTGGAAAAATAGCCTCACCTGCCTGGTGGCAGCTCCTCACAACCCCTGCCTGCAGGGTCTGTGCCTCAACCAGCCCCACCGACTGCAGCTTCCAGCTCACACTGACTCAAAATGCACCTTGGAACCTTCAAACGCCTGGTTGGACCCTAAACATGACCCTTTGGGGCCTGAAATGAGGTTTTGGCAACTAGAAGTGAGGCGTTGGCAACTAGAAATGAGGCTTTGGAGCCTAAAATCAGGCTGCAAAAGCAAATTTGGCTTCAAAGTGAGCCCCTGGACCCTGAAAATGAGCCTTGGCACCTGAAAAGTGTGAAGCTTGGGACTTATAAATGAGGCTTTGTTACCTTAACAATGAGGGTTTGGACTTTTAAAATGCAACTCTGGGTCCTAAAAGCCCAGGTTGGAAGCTAAAATAAGGATTTGGGCCCTCAACATGGTGTTTGACACCCTCAAAATGGGGATTTGGATGCTCAAAATGGGGATTTGGATGCTCAAAATGAGGCTTTGGACATGAAGAAAATTAGATTTGAACCCCAAGTGAGGAGTTTACGCCCTAAAATCAGAGTTTGAACCCTACAAACAAGGCTTTCAACCCAAGGATCAAAGCTTTGGACCCTAGAAATGAGGATTTTGGACCTAAACCTGAGGTTTTCAGCCCTAAAAGAGAGCTCTGGAGCCTCCAGCTGAGGGCACACAGGACTGGGCTCCTGCCTTCCTCTTTACATCGTCAGGTTTGGTGCCTGTGAGTGAGTAAATGAAGGTGGCAGCAAATCCCCAAGTGTGTTCCCAACCCCCCCATGCCCACCTGGAGCAGAACTGGGGTCCTCACCCTCCTCAAACCCCAAGTGGGGGGTAAAACTGTGGGGGCATCTTCAGAGAACCCTCTGGCGTGGCAGCACTGCTGGAAGGAGCCCAGAGTGCAGAGTGAGGGCAGCACAGGTCCAGGCACAGGCCGAGGGCAAGATGAAAACCTAATGATTCCCCCCCCTCCAAGGCTTGGAATTGTGGTCTGGAATATTCAGCCCTGCGGGGCTTCTGTCTCCTCCTCTTTTCTTCTCCTGGAAGCTGCTCATGAGTCAGCTTGTCCTCCCAGCAGATGTTTGAAGGTCACTCCCATCCCGGGAAGCAGCGATGATCCTTTTGACAAGGAAGCAAAAAGGGATGATCCTGATCCCTGGCACCTCCCCAGGTGGCACCCACAGCCACCCACCAGAGCCAGGCCTGGCTGGGGCAGAGAAAGATCTTTCAGGGACAGCAAAGGCAGCCTGATAAAGAGCAGCTTTTATTGCTCCTTGCCCTGAGCACCTGCAGACGTTCTCCTGGGCACCACGTGTTCCCCCAGCACTGCCTGGGTTTGGTGTCTTGTCACTCTGAAGACCTCAGGGGCCAGAGAGGGGATGACTGCTGTGGTTTCCAGCTCTCCTTGCAGGGTCCCACCACTCTGGGGTGTGTTCTTCAAAGTTCTCCTTCCTCCAGAAGGAGTGTCCCATTGACTCAGCCAGGCTCTCCAGGAAACTCACAGCTCGTCCTTGAGCTTCCCTGCCCCTCAGCTGCTCCTTCCCCCAGGCCATGACTCTCTCTGCTCTCTCTAAGCTCACCAAAACACCAAAGCTTGGCCTCCAGAAGCACTGGGCTTTGTTTGATCTCAGCTCAGCCACAGCTGGAAAGCAGAAAAGGTGAACATGAGATTTTCTGCTGGTGCTGATGGCCCAGACTTGCCTGTGTCCCCAGCAGGAGCAGCTCCAGTGCCCCACAGCCCCCCCACACCAGCACCAACGTGTCCTTCCAGGCAGCTTTCCTGCTGCTCCCATGTGTGACAAGCTGATACAGTCACAGAATGCCAGGTGGGAAGGGACCCCAAGGATCATCTGGTCCAACCTTTCCAGGTAATCATCCAGTTGAAATGAGGTGGCCCAGCACCTGTCAGGCTGAGACTTCCAACTGGCCCATGTAGGGGAATCCACCTCTTCCCTGGGGAGATTAGTCCAATGTCCACCTGTTCTCATGGGGAAACATTTTCTCCTGGAGTCCAATGGGAATCTCCCCAGGAGCAACTTGTACCCATCACCCCTTGGCTTTTCCTTCTCCTTGGCACAAGGAAGTCTCCATCTTCTTGGCAGCCACCCTTTATGGCCTGGGACATGGCAATAAGGTCTCCCCTGAGCCTTCTCCTCTCCAGGCTGAACAAACCCAGCTCTCTCAGCCTCTCCTCACATGGCAGGTCCTCCAGTCCTCTGAGCATCACCATCTGCTGCCACAGAAGTGTTGGGAGCTGACAACAGTTACACCAAAAGCCAAGAGAAATGGGGAACTGAGCATCCTGGCCCCTTTCACCAGGCTCCCTCAGCACGTGGCTGTGGCTGCAGATGCCTGGTGTGATGCACCCACCCTGCAACGTGGGGCCCTGGTGGGGCTGGGGAGGAGAGGGGGAGCTGCAATGGGGCATCTCAGTGCTGATCAATATCTACAGGGGGTGTCAGGGGGGTGGGACCAGACTCTGCTCAGGGGTGCCCAGTGACAGGACAAGGGGCAATGGCCACAAATTGGAGCACAGGAGGGTCAAGTTAAACATAAGGAAGAACTCCTACACTTTGAGGGTGGCAGAGCCCTGGGACAGGCTGCCCAGGGAGGCTGTGGAGTCTCCATCCCTGGAGACATTCCAGCCCCACCTGGATGTGTTCCTGTGGGATCTGCTCTAGGGGATCCTGCTCTGGCAGGGGTTGGATGGATGATCTCCAGAGGTGCCTTCCAACCCTGACAACTAAAGGGTGAACAGACCAACTGTGGTGTGGACTTGCCAGCAGCAGCACCAGGCAGGGAGCAGCTCTCTGGGGGCAGGAAATATTTCTGACCACGAGCAGAAAAGCTGCAGAAGCTCCTTGACCACCCAACCCACCATGGGTGACGGATCCACCGGAGCATAACATGATGCAGCAGGATATCCTGGTTTTGATGGGCTTTCCAGACCCTGCACCCAAAATTCCAGGCTCAGAACTGGCTGGGAGAGGGTTGCAGGAAGCTGAGCTCCATGAGAGGATCTCCCTCCTCACTCCCTGCCCGTGTCTCCTGCAGCTGGAGGTGAGCCATGCTGGCACCAGCCTGGCAAACCCCACGCTCCACTGCCTGCTCTGAGTCACCTTTGTTGCCATCAGCACAGGCTCCTGCTGCACCTTTGTCTGAGCTTCCCTCTGGTCTTGTGATGATCATTTTCTGTGCTTCACAGCCTTTGTTGCTGCTGCCTTATTAGCCCTTTTCTGCAGGCTTCAGGGATTCTTCATCTCGAGGCACCACATGACCCAAGAGGATGTCCAAAGCTGTTCCTTAAGAAGCAGGA